GGGGGGTTATAGATTCCAGCCCCCCCTCCCCTTTTCCACCCCAGCCCCCCTTCCATGCTGCTGCCCTGCTGCTGCCCCCCCCAGATGCTGTGGAGGTGACGCGGCCCTGTGGCGTCTCACTGAGCAGTGAGTGACCCCCCCCCCGCTCCCCTGCTGCCCCCCCCGGACCCCCTAGACCTCCCCCCACGTGAGGGCACCCCCCCCTTAACCCCCCTCTCCCCAGACCATCACTTCTATGAGGAATCCCGGCCTTTCCCCTGCCTGGACGGTTCCTCCCTCATCGCCTTCAAGTGGGTCAATGACGACTATTGCGACTGTCGCGACGGCTCTGACGAACCTGGTGAGCCCCCCCCCGAAGCGGTCTGCAGGGGCTTCGACCCCATCCCCAAAATGAGGGTACCCCCCGGGTGGCCCCCCCACACCCTGTGCCCCCCCCCCCGAATTTTGCCCCTCCCACACTCTGTGTTCCCCGCACCCTCCCTCACCCTGCACCCCCCCCAATGCTGTGTGCCCCCCTTGCCCCCCTTTCACCTGCTGATCCCCCCTCACCCTGTGCCCCCCCTCCCCAATTTTGTGACCATCCGCCCTGCACCCCCCTCACCTTCCAACCCCCTCAATTCCTGTGCACCCCCCCACCCTTCACCCCCACCCCACCCTTCGCTCCCCCCCCCCACACACACACCCCCTTTGCTCCCCCGCGCGCACCCTTGGCGCCCCCCCCCTCTCCACACTTCACCCCCCCACACACACCCTTAGCCCTCCCCTCCCCCCATCCTCTGCATCTGACCCACACCATGTCCCACCCCACACTCTGTGCTCCCCCCACAATTTTGTGCCCCCCTGCCCTGCACCCCCCCACTCCTGGGGTCCTCCTCCCTGACCCCCTCCCTCTTCCCCCCCCCCCACCTCAGGGACCTCAGCCTGCCCCAATGGCCATTTCCACTGCACCAATGCTGGGTACCGACCCCAGAACATCCCCTCTGCCCACGTCAATGATGGCGTCTGTGGTGAGTTGGGGGGGTTGTTGTGGGGTTTTTTTTTGGGGGGGGGGAGGAAGGGAGTGGGATCAAAGTGTCCCTGGGGGGTTGATTTGGGAGGCTGGAGGGGCACTGAGGCCCTCAAAGCTCTGTGTGGGGTGGAAGGGGGTGTGGAGAGGATGTGGGGTCCTACGTGTGGTGGGGGGAGTCCTGGGGTACCTGGAGGGGCCTTGAAGGGGGAGGGGTATTGCGGAGGGGGGGCTATAGGGGAAGGGGGGGAGGTCTGTGGGGGTCTCGGTGGCGATTTGGTAAGTCTGAGGGGTCTGTGTCGGGTCACGTGGTCTCAGGGGGGAGATGGGGCACTGGGGGGGAGCGGGAGGGTCTGCAGGGGGCTGAGGGGTCCGTAGGGGGTGTGGAGGGGGTCTGTATGGGGGGGTCTGCGTGAGGGGGTTTTGTATGGGGGGGACCTGCATGGGGATGTATGGCTGTCTGTATAGGGCCATGAATGGGGTCTGTATGGGGGGGGTCTGCATGGGGACATGGGGGGGGTGTTTATGGGGCTGGTCTGGTCTGCATGGGGATATGGGGAAGGGATTTGTATGGGGACGTGCGGAGGGGGTTTGTATGAAGGGGGTCTGTATGGGGTGGAGGGTGGGGAGGGGGTCTGTATGGGAGGGTCTGCATGGGGATATGGAGGGGGTCTGCGTGGGGGGGGTCTGTATGGGGAGGGGTCTGCTTGGGGGTTCTGTATGGGGAGGGATTTGTATGGGGGGGCACTGGGGCTTTGTAGGGGGAGCAGCAGGAGCCCTATAGGGAACCTTGGGGTGGAGGGGGCGGGCTTTAAATATCTCCGGGGTGATCTGTGAGAAGCTGAGGAGCATCTATAGGGAGCTGGGGGTCTGTGTGGCTGGGGGGGACAGTAAGTGGGGGGGGTTATAGATTCCAGCCCCCCCCTCCCCTTTTCCACCCCAGCCCCCCTTCCATGCTGCTGCCCCTGATGCTGGTCCCCCCCCCGGATGCTGTGGAGGTGACGTGGCCCTGCGGCGTCTCACTGAGCAGTGAGTTACCCCACCCCCCCCCCCTTGAGCCCCCCCTCATGACGACACCCCCCTTAACTCCCCCCCTCCCCAGACCATCACTTCTGAGGAATCCCAGCCTTTCACCTGCCTGGACGGTTCCTCCACCATCGCCTTCAAGTGGGTCAATGACGACTATTGCGACTGTCGCGACGGCTCTGACGAACCTGGTGAGCCCCCCCTGCTCCTCCCCCTCCCGCAGAAGCAGTCTGCAGGGGCTTTGACCCCAGCCCCACAATGGGGGAACCCCCGCGGTTGGCCCCCCCGCCACCCTGTGCCCCTCCATCCCCAAAGCTTTCTGCCCCCCCCCATAATTTTGCTCCCCCCTGCACCCCCCAATGTCGTGTGCCCCCCGCTCACCTGCTGATCCCGTTATTCCCTCTGCCCCCCACACTCTATGACCCCCCGTGCCCTTTCGCCCCTCCCACCGTGTCCCCCCCACATCCTCTGCCCCCCCCCACAGTTTTGTGCCCACCTGCCCTGCACCACCCTGATGACCTGTGCCCACCTCACTTTCCAACCCCCCACACCCTTCGCCCCCCCCCACACCCCTAAGCCCTTCCCCCCCCCCCTCGTTTCCCCCACCACCATTTGCCCCTCCCCCCCATTCTTATCTACCCACACCCCCGCACACACTTGGGCTTCCCCCCCCACTCACACCCCCTACCCCCTGTTTGCCCCCCCCCACCTTCCAACCCCTTGGCATCACACCCTTAGCCCCCTTGCCCACATCCTTGGTGCTCCCTCTCCCCACTGTTCAGCCCCCCGACACGTTTTCTCCACACCCACCCCCCCCACACCCTTGGGCCTCACCTTTTACTCCCACACCATGTCCCACCCCACACCCTGTGCCCCCCCACAATTTTGTGCCCCCCTGCCCTGCACCCCCCGCTCCTGGGGTCCTCCTCCCTGAGTCCCCTTTCCCCCCCCCCCCCCCCACCTCAGGGCCCTCAGCCTGCCCCAATGGCCATTTCCACTGCACCAACGCTGGGTACCGAGCCCAGAACATCCCCTCTGCCCACGTCAATGATGGCGTCTGTGGTGAGTGGGGGGGGTCTTTGTGGGGTGTTTTTTTGGGGGGGAGGAGGGGGTTGGGATCAAAGTGTCCCTGGGGGGTTAATTTGGGGGGCTGTATGGGATTGGGGGGCCTGGGTGGGCACTGAGGCCCTCAAAGCTCTGTGTGGGGTGGAGGCAGGTCTGGAGAGGATGTGGGGTCCTATGTGGGGTGGGGGGGTCCTTGGGGGGTGGTGGTTGAGGGTATTGGAGGGGTCTCAAGGTGGGGTGGGGGGCACCATGTGTCTCTAGGGTTGGTGCTTTGGGGTCTGCATGCGGACGTAGGGGGGTCTGTATAGGGCCATGAATGGCGTCTGTATGGGGAGGGGGTTTGTGTGGGGATGTGGGAGGGGTCTGTATGAGGGCGTCTGCATGGGGACATAGTGGGGGTCTTTATTGGGCTGGTCTAGTCTGTATGGGGATATGGGGACGGGATTTTGTATGGGGTTGTGAGGAGGGGATTTGTATAGGGGGGGTCTGTATGGGGGGGAAGCTCTAAGGGGAGGTGTGCATGGGAACGTGGAGGGGGTCTGTATTGGGGACTGGGTCTGTAGTTGGGGAAGGCCTGCGGGGGGGGAGGTCTGTATGGGAGGGTCTGTATGGGGTGGTACTGGGGCTTTGTAGGGGGAGCAGCAGGAGCCCTATAGGGAACCTTTGGGGGGAGGGGGGTGGCTTTAAATATCCCCAGGGCGATCTGTGAGAAGCCAAGGAGCATCTATAGGGAGCTGGGAGTCTGTGGGGCTGGGGGTGGCCAGTAAGGGGGGGGGTTATAGATTCCAGCCCCCCCTCCCCTTTTCCACCCCAGCCCCCCTTCCATGCTGCTGCCCCTGATGCTGGTCCCCCCCCCGGATGCTGTGGAGGTGACGCGGCCCTGTGGCGTCTCACTGAGCAGTGAGTGACCCCCCCCTGCTCCCCTGCTGCCCCCCCCGGACCCCCTAGACCTCCTCCCCCATGAGAGCACCCCCTCTTAACCCCCCCCTCCCCAGACCATCACTTCTATGAGGAATCCCAGCCTTTAACCTGCCTGGACGGTTCCTCCACCATCGCCTTCAAGTGGGTCAATGACGACTATTGCGACTGTCGCGACGGCTCTGACGAACCTGGTGAGCCCCCCCCCGAAGCGGTCTGCAGGGGCTGCGACCCCATCCCCAAAATGAGGGAACCCCCCCGGGTGGCCCCTCACACCCTCCCCCCCTCCTCAATTTTGTGCTTATCCGCCCTGCAGCCCCCTCACCTTCCAACCCCTGCAATCCCTGTGCACCCCCCCACCCTTCGCTCCCCCCCTCTCCACACTTCACCCCCCCCACACACCCTTAGCCCTCCCCTCCCCCCATCCTCTGCATCTGACCCGCACCATGTCCCACCCCACACCCTGTGCTCCCCCCACAATTTTGTGCCCCCCTGCCCTGCACCCCCCACTCCTGGGGTCCTCCTCCCTGACTTCCCCCTCTTCCCCCCCCCACCTCAGGGACCTCAGCCTGCCCCAATGGCCATTTCCACTGCACCAACGCTGGGTACCGACCCCAGATCATCCCCTCTGCCCACATCAATGATGGCGTCTGTGGTGAGTGGGGGGGTCGTTGTGGTTTTTTTTTTTGGGGGTGGGATCAAAGTGTCCCTGGGGGGTTAATTTGGGGGTCTGGAGGAGCACTGAGGCTTACAAATCTCTGTGCGGGGTGGACGGGGGTGTGGAGAGGATGTGGGGTCTTTGGACGGTGGTGGTTGAGGACATTTGGGTCTCTTGGGGGGGCGGGGGGGGTGACAGGGCAACATAACGAAGTGTCCCTGGGGGGTTAATTTGGGGGGCTGTGTAGGGGATGGGGGGTCCTGGAGGGGCACTGAGATCCTCTGTGTGGGGTGGAGGGGGGTGTGGGGGTCCTGTGTGGAGCGGGGGGGTCCTTGGGGGCTGTGGTTGAGGGTTTAAGCTCCCCTTCAGGAACCCGAGACCCTGGCGGTGAGTGAGAGGCTCTGGGGAATGGAAGACCTCCCTGCAGTCAGGGAAGAGGTGGTCCGGGAGCGCCCAGGCAGCAGCAATGTTCACCAATCCATGGGAGCCGATGGGATGCATCCACGGGAGCTGAGGGAGCTGGCAGAGGTGATTGCTGAGCCGCTTTCGGTGTCTTTGGGAGGGGTTGGAGGACTGGGAGGTGCCTGAGGAGTGGAGGAGAGCCAATGTCACTGCGGTCTTCAAAAGGGGCAAGAAGGAAGAATGTCACTGCGTGGGGGGTTTGTATGGGGGAGGGGTCTGCATGGGGACATGGGGGGGGTCTGTATGGGGGGGTCTGGTCTGTATGGGGATATGGGAAGGGATTTGTATGGGGACGTGGGGAGGGGGTTTGGTCTGTATGGGGATATGGGAAGGGATTTGTATGGGGACGTGGGGAGGGGGTCTGTATGGGGAGGAGTCTGTATGTGGGGGAAGCTGGGGAGGGGGTCTGTATTGGGGAGAGGGTCTGCGTGGGGATATGGAGGGAGTTTGCATGGGGGGGTCTATATGTGGGGGGGAAGGTCTGGAAGGGGCTGTATGGGGAGGGGTCTGCATGGGGGTTCTGTATGGGGAGGGATCTGTATGGGGAGGGGCACTGGGGCTTTGTAGGGGGAGCAGCAGGAGCCCTATAGGGAACTTTGTGGGCAGGGGGTGCGGGGGGACTTTAAATATCCCCGGGGTGATCTGTGAGAAGCTGAGTAGCATCTATAGGGAGCTGGGGGTCTGTGGGGCTGGGGGGGCCAGTAAGGGGGGGGTTATAGATTCCAGCCCCCCCTCCCCTTTACAGCCCAGCCCCCCTTCCATGCTGCTGCCCCTGCTGCTGGCGCCCGCATGGATGCTGTGGAGGTGATGGGGGACCGCGGCGTCTCACTGAGCAGTGAGTGACCCCCCCCTCATCAGGAAACCCCCCAAGGCCATCACTTCTGAGGAATCCCAGCCTTTCACCTGCCTGGACGGTTCCTCCACCATCGCCTTTGAGTGGGTCAATGACGACTATTGCGACTGTCGCGACGGCTCTGATGAACCTGGTGAGGCCCCCCCTGCTCCCCCCCCTCCCCCAGAAGCGGTCTGCAGGGGCTTCGACCCCAGCCCCACAATGGGGGAACCACCCCGGTTGGCCCCCCCCACCCTGTGCCCCTCCATCCCCAAAGCTCTGTGCCCCCCCCCATAATTTTGTGCCCCCCCTGCACCCCCAATGTCGTGTGCCCTCCTCACCTGCTGACCCCCCTATTCCCTCTGCCCCCCCACTCTATGACCCCCCCGTGCCGTTTGCCCCCCCACCGTGTCCCTCCCCACATCCTGTGCCCCCAACCACAGTTTTGTGCCCACCCTCACTTTCCAACCACCGCCACCCTTCCCCCCCCCCCCCCCCCACCCCTCCCCAAACACTTGCCCCCCCACATTTGCCCCCCTCACCCTTTGCCCCTCCTTCCCACCCTTATCTACCCACACCCCCCACACCCTTGGGCCTCCCCCCCGCTCACACCCCCATCCCCCCCGTTTGCCCCCCCCCCCCCCCCCCACCTCCCCAGCACCCTTGGCATCACACCCCCTACCGTTCTCCACACCCACCCCCCCCTCCACACCCTTGGGCCCCACCTTTCACTCCCCCCCACCCTTAGCCCCTCTACCCCCACACCATGTCCCACCCCACACCCTGTGCCCCCCCCACAATTTTGTGCCCCCCTGCCCTGCACCCCCCACTCCTGGGGTCCTCCTCCCTGACCCTCCCCCCCCCCCCCCCACCTCAGGGCCCTCAGCCTGCCCCAATGGCCATTTCCACTGCACCAACGCTGGGTACCGACCCCAGAACATCCCCTCTGCCCACATCAATGATGGCGTCTGTGGTGAGTGGGGGGGTCGTTGTGGGGTGTTTTTTAGGGGGGGGGGGGGGGGGTGGGATCAAAGTGTCCCTGGGGGGTTAATTTGGGGGCACTGTAGGGGATTGGGGGGCCTGGGTGGGCACTGAGGCCCTCAAAGCTCTGTGTGGGGTGGAGGCAGGTCTGGAGAGGATGTGGGGTCCTATGTGGGGTGGGGGGGTCCTTGAGGGGAGGTGGTTTAGGGTATTGCGGGGGTCTCAAGGTGGGGGGGGGGGCACCATGTGTCTCTAGGGTTGGTGCTTTGGGGGCTGTGTAGGAGATGGGGGTTCCTAGAGGGGCACTGAGTGACCCCCAAAGCTCTGTGTGGGGTGGAGGGGGTGTGGGGGTCTGTGGGGGTCTCGGTGGCGATTTGGGTGAGTCTGAGGGGTCTGTGTAGGGTCACGTGGTCTGAAGGGGGGAGATGGGGCACTGGGGGGGAGCGGGGGGGTCTGCAGGGGGCTGAGGGGTCTGTATGGGGGGTCTGTGTGGGGGGGTTTTGTATGGGGTGGGTCTGTATGTGGCCATGAATGGGGTCTGTATGGGGGTGTCTGCATGGGGACATGGGGATGGGTCTTTATGGGGCTGGTCTGGTCTGCATGGGGATATGGGGAAGGGATTTGTATGGGGACTTGGGGAGGGTGTTTGTATAGGGGGGGTCTGTATGGGGGGGAAGCTGGGGAGGGGGTCTGTATTGGGGAGGGGGTCTGTAGGGAGGGTAAGGCCTGGGGGGGTCTGTATGGGGCATCTGTATGGGAGGGTCTGCATGGGATGTGGGGGGGGTCTGTATGGGGAGAGGTCTCTATGGGGTGGTACTGGGGCTTTGTAGGGGGAGCAGCAGGAGCCCTATAGGGAACCTTGGGGGGAGGGGGGTGGCTTTAAATATCCCCGGGTGATCTGTGAGAAGCCAAGAAGCATCTATAGGGAGCTGGGGGTCTGTGGGGCTGGGGGTGGCCAGTAAGGGGGGGGTTATAGATTCCAGACCCCCTCCCCTTTTCCACCCCAGCCCCCCTTCCATGCTGCTGCCCCTGATGCTGGTCCCCCCCCCGGATGCTGTGGAGGTGACGCGGCCCTGCGGCGTCTCACTGAGCAGTGAGTGACCCCCGCCCGAGCCCCCCCTAATTAGGACAGCCCCCTAACCCCCCCCCCCCCCCCCCCCACCCGCAGACCATCACTTCTATGAGGAATCCCAGCCTTTCACCTGCCTGGACGGTTCCTCCACCATCGCCTTCAAGTGGGTCAATGACGACTATTGCGACTGTCGCGACGGCTCTGACGAACCTGGTGAGCCCCCCCTGCTCCTCCCCCAGAAGCGGTCTGCAGGGGCTTCGACCCCAGCCCCACAATGGGGGAACTCTACCATGTGGCCCCTTCACACCCTGTGCCCCTCCATCCCCAAAGCTCTCTGCCCCCCCCCATAATTTTGCGCCCCCCCCCTGCACCCCCAATGTCGTGTGCCCCCCGCTCACCTGCTGACCCCCCTATTCCCTGTGCCCCCCCCACTCTATGACCCCCCCACCGTGTCCCTCCCCACATCCTGTGCCCCCCCCACAGTTTTGTGCCCACCCACCCTGCACCACCCTGATGACCTGTGCCCTCCCTCACTTTCCACCCACCCCTCGCCCCCTCCCCTCCCCAAACCCCCCAAATCCTTGCCCCCCCTTGTTTGCCCCCCTCACCTTTTGCCCCTCCTTCCCACCCTTATCTACCCACAACCCCCCCCACCATTGGGCCTCCCTCCCCACTTACACCCCCTACCCCCCTGTTTGCCCCCCCCCACCTTCGCAACCCCTTGGCATCACACCCTTAGCCCCCAGCCCACATCCTTGGTGCTCCCCCTCCCCACTGTTCTCCTCCCCTGCTCTTCTCCACACCCACTCCCCCCCACCCTTGGGCCTCACCTTTCACCCCCCCGACCGTTAGCCCCCCCACTCACTCTTAGCCTGTCTCCCACCCCACACCCTGTGCCCCCCCCACAATTTTGTGCCCCCCTGCACTGCACCCCCCACTCCTGGGGGTCCTCCTCCCTGACCCCTCCTCTTCCCCTCCCCCCCCACCTCAGGGACCTCAGCCTGCCCCAATGGCCATTTCCACTGCACCAACGCTGGGTACCGACCCCAGATCATCCCCTCTGCCCACATCAATGATGGCGTCTGTGGTGAGTTGGGGGGTCGTTGTGGGGTTTTTTTTTTGGGGGGGGAGGAAGGGGGTGGGATCAAAGTGTCCCTGGGGGGTTAATTTGGGGGGCTGGAGGGGCACTGAGGCCCTCAAAGCTCTGTGTGGGGTGGAAGGGGGTGTGGAGAGGATGTGGGGTCCTACGTGAGGTGGGGGGAGTCCTGGGGTACCTGGAGGGGCCTTGAAGGGGGAGGGGTATTGCGGAGGGGGGGCTATAGGAAAAGGAGGGGAGGTCTGTGGGGGTCTCGGTGGCGATTTGGGTGAGTCTGAGGGGTCTGTGTCGGGTCACGTGGTCTGTAGGGGGGAGATGGGGCACTGGGGGGGAGCGGGAGGGTCTGCAGGGGGCTGAGGGGTCTGTATGGGGGGTCTGCGTGAGGGGGTTTTGTATGGGGGGGGCCTGCATGGGGACGTATGGCTGTCTGTATAGGGCCATGAATGGGGTCTGTATGGGGGGGGTCTGCATGGGGACATGGGGGGGTGTTTATGGGGCTGGTCTGGTCTGCATGGGGATATGGGGAAGGGATTTGTATGGGGACGTGGGGAGGGGGTTTGTATGAAGGGGGTCTGTATGGGGAGGAAGCTGGGGAGGGGGTCTGTATGGGAGGGTCTGCATGGGGGTGTGGGGGGGGTCTGTAAGGGAGGGAAGGTCTGGGGGGTTCTGTATGGGGAGGGGTCTGCTTGGGGGTTCTGTATGGGGAGGGATTTGTATGGGGGGGCACTGGGGCTTTGTAGGGGGAGCAGCAGGAGCCCTATAGGGAACCTTGGGGTGGAGGGGGGGGCTTTAAATATCCCCGGGTGATCTGTGAGAAGCCGAGGAGCATCTATAGGGAGCTGGGAGTCTGTGGGGCTGGGGGGGGCCAGTAATTGGGGGGGGTTATAGATTCCAGCCCCCCCTCCCCTTTTCCACCCCAGCCCCCCTTCCATGCTGCTGCCCCTGATGCTGGTCCCCCCCCCGGATGCTGTGGAGGTGACGCGGCCCTGCGGCGTCTCACTGAGCAGTGAGTGACCCCCCCCCCCTCGAGCCCCCCCTCATGAGGACACCCCCCCTTAACCTCCCCCCCCCCCCCCCCAGACCATCACTTCTATGAGGAATCCCAGCCTTTCACCTGCCTGGACGGTTCCTCCACCATCGCCTTTGAGTGGGTCAATGACGACTATTGCGACTGTCGCGACGGCTCTGACGAACCTGGTGAGCCCCCCCTGCTCCCCCCCCTCCCCCAGAAGCGGTCTGCAGGGGCTTCGACCCCATCCCCACAATGGGGGAACCCTACCGGGTGGCCCCCTCACACCCTGTGTCCCCCCCATCCCCAAAGCTCTCTGCCCCCCCCATAATTTTGCTCCCCCCTGCTCCTCCCCCAATGTCGTGTGCCCCCCCCTCACCTGCTGACCCCCCTATTCCCTGTGTCCCCCCCAATCTATGACCCCCCCAGTGCCCTTTCCCCGCACATCCTGTGCCCCCCCCACAGTTTTGTGCCCACCCGCCCTGCACCACCCTGATGACCTGTGCCCACCTCACTTTCCAACCCCCCACACCCTTCGCCCCCCCCACACCCCCCCAAGCCCTTCCCCCCCCCCCCCTCATTTCCTCCGCCACCCTTTGCCCCTCCCCCCCATTCTTATCTACCCACACCCCTGCACACACTTGGGCTTCCCCCCCCACTCACATCCCCTTCCCCCCCATTTGCCCCCCCCCCACCTCCCCCACATCCTTCCCCCTTCCCCCCACATCCTTGGTGCTCCCTCTCCCCACCTTTCCCCCCCCCACACGCTTCTCCACACCCACCCCCCCCACACCCTTGGGCCTCACCTTTTACTCCCCCCCACCCTTTGCCCCCCCAACCCTTAGCCCCTCTACCCCCACACCATGGCCCACCCCACACCCTGTGCCCCCCCCACAATTTTGTGCCCCCCCCCCCCCGGGGGGTCTGCGTGGGGGGGTTTTTGTGTGTGGGGGGGGTCTGCATGGGGACATGGGGGGGTCTGTATAGGGCCATAAATGGGGCCTGTATGGGGAGGGGGTCTGTATGGGGGGGGTCTGTATGAGGGCGTCTGCATGGGGACATGGTGGGGGTCTTTATTGGGCTGGTCTAGTCTGTATGGGGATATGGGGAAGGGATTTGTATAGGGGGGTCTTTATGGGAGGGAAGCTCTGGGGGGAGGTGTGCATGGGAACGTGGAGGGGGTCTGTATTCGGGAGGGGGTCTGTAGTGGGGGAAGGCCTGGGGGGGGAGGTCTGTATGGGGACATGGTGGCGGTCTGTATGGGAGGGTCTGTATGGGGGGGGTACTGGGGCTTTGTAGGGGGAGCAGCAGGAGCCCTGTAGGGAACCTTTGGGGGGAGGGGGGTGGCTTTAAATATCCCCAGGACGATCTGTGAGAAGCTGAGGAGCATCTATAGGGAGCTGGGAGTCTGTGGGGCTGGGGGTGGCCAGTAAGGGGGGGTTATAGATTCCAGCCCCCCCCTCCCCTTTTCACCCCAGCCCCCCTTCCATGCTGCTGCCCCTGCTGCTGCCCCCCCCCGGATGCTGTGGAGGTGACGCGGCCCTGCGGCGTCTCACTGAGCAGTGAGTGACCACCCCCTGCTGCCCCCCCTAGACCTCCCCCCCCCGTGAGGGCACCCCCCCTTAACCCCCCCCTCCCCAGACCATCACTTCTATGAGGAATCCCAGCCTTTCACCTGCCTGGACGGTTCCTCCCTCATCGCCTTCCAGTGGGTCAATGACGACTATTGCGACTGTCGCGACGGCTCTGACGAACCTGGTGAGCCCCCCCCATGCAGTCTGCAGGGGCTTCGACCCCATCCCCAAAATGAAGGAACCCCCCCGGGTGGCCCCTCACACCCTGTGCCCACCCCCCCGAATTTTGCCCCTCCCACACTCTGTGTTCCCCTCTCCCTGCACCCCCCCAATGCCGTGTGCCCCCCTTGCCCCCCTTTCTCCTGCTGATCCCCCCCGCACCCTGTGCCCCCCCTCCCCAATTTTGTGCCCACCCGCCTTGCACTCCCCTGATGCGCTGTGCCCCCCCTCACCTTCCATCCCCCCCCACCCTTTCCCCCCCTCCCCCTGACCCTTCTCCACCCCCACACACTTGGGCCCCCCCAACACCCTTGGCCCCCCCCTCCCCCACACCGTGCCCCCCCCCCCACAATTTTGTGCTCACCTGCCCTGCACCCCCCTTACCTTCCAACTCCCCCAATCCCTGTGCACCCCCCCACCCTTCACCCCCACCCCACCCTTCGCTTCCCCCCCCCCACACCCTTGGCACTCCCCCTCTCCAGCTCTCACCCCCCCCACCCACCCTTAGCCCTCCCCTCCCCCCACCCTTTGCCTCCCCCCCACACCATGTCCCACCCCACACCCTGTGCCCCCCCACAATTTTGTGCCCTCCTGCCCTGCACCCACCACTCTTGGGGGTTTTCCTCCCTGACCCCCCGCCTTCCCCCCCACCTCACAGACCTCAGCCTGCCCCAATGGCCATTTCCACTGCACCAATGCTGGGTACCGACCCCAGAACATCCCCTCTGCCCACATCAATGATGGCGTCTGTGGTGGGGGGGGGGGGTTGTTGTGGGGGTTTTTTTTGGGGAGGAGGAGGAGGGGGGGGGGGGAGGAGGGGGGTGGGATCAAAGTGTCCCTGGGGGGTTAATTTGGGGGGCTGTGTAGGGGATGGGGGGTCCTGGAGGGGCACTGAGATCCTCTGTGTGGGGTGGAGGGGGGTGTGGGGGTCCTTTTGGGGCGGGGGGGGTCCTTGGGGGCTGTGGTTGAGGGTTTAAGCTGGAACTTAAACTGGAAGAAAAGGAGGTGATGAGGAGCAGTCGGCACGGGTTCACCAGGGGGAGGTCGTGCTCCACCAACCTGGTGGCCTTCTGTGATGTTGTCTCTGGCTGGGTGGATGGGGGGAGAGCAGTGGATGTGGCCTACCTTGATTTCAGCGAGGCATTTGATGCTGTCCCCCACCACATCCTTGTAACAAAGCTGTGGGACAGACGAGGGGACAGTGAGGTGGGTTGAGAACTGGCTGCTGGCATTGCAGTGGCTGCACGTCCCTGAGTCTCCGCGCTTGGGACTGCAGGCAGGAGAAGCATTGCAGAGATGCCCAACAAAATCAGCCTACAAGAACCGCTGGCCATCACGGCTTCACCACAGCTGGAGTGGTGTGAGATGTTTTCTGAAAGGATCTGGCGCCTGTCATTAAAAATACAGCCTGGGATGTAAGCTGGCAAAGCAGAGCAGATGTGCAGTTTGTGACTGCGCTTCAGTTCGATGGGCTTTGAAAGCTGCGTGCTCCATGCCCTGAACCTCCCACTCTGCTCAGTGCTGCACATACAGCTGTGCATTTCGCTCCTCGGTTGGACTCCGCCATAAAGAAAGAAACGCTGTTAGACTGGCTGTTCAGAAATGGAATGGGGCTTGAATTGAGCAGCAAAGTCTGTTCGGTTCCACGCTAGGGCTGCTTGATCTCACTGCCCATGAAGTCACACTCGTGTCTGAACCAACCTCCACATTTCAGTGGCAGTACCAGCAATCAGGGGCTTATTTCATTGCTCAGGACAGTTTGCTGCTCCCGTGGCCCTGGGAGGATAATTAGGTTCATCACAGTGAGCGCACAGGAGGGCCGTTTTTTATCTGCGCATCTTTCGACTCCTGAAATCCTGAAAGAGCTGACGTTGAACTTTAATGAATGCCATTGGAAATAACTGTGTGCACATGGCTCCAACTCTGATCCCCCCACCCCCCTTCTCCCCCCCATCTCCGCCATTCCCCCCAAATCTCCGCCACCCCCCCATTCCCCCCACGTGCCCCCATACCCCCCCTTATTCTCCCTATCCTCCCATACCCCCCATACTCTGCATCCCCCCATTCCCCCATACCCCCCCATATCTCCCCTATCCCCCATATCCCCCCATTTCCCCTCATTCCCACACATTGCCCCCCTGTCCACCCATGCCCCTCCATATCCCCCCGTAAATCCCCCCATATCCCCCCTGCCCCCCCATATCCTCCCAAATCCCCTGCACCCTCCCATTCTTCCCCCATCCCCCCATATCCCCCATATTTCCCTCCATCCCCCCATCTCTCTTCATCCCCTCCTATCCCCCCATTCCTGCCCCATATCTCCACTACCCCCCAAATCCCCCCCGTTTCCCCCATATTCCCCCTCATCCCCCCCTAAATCCCCCCATATCTCCCCATTCACCCCATAGTCCACCACCCCCTCATATCCCCCCCATTTCCCCTTTCTCCCCCACCCCACAAATCCTCCTATCCCCCCTTATTCCCCCTATCCCCCCTACTCCCCCCATATGCTGCATCCCCCCATCCCTCCCCACCCTTATGACCCCATCCCCCCATATCCTTCCCATCCCCCTTATCTCCCCTGCCCCCCCATTCCCCTCCATTCTCCCCAACCCCCCCTCTCCCTCTCAACCCCCCCTCACACCACTTAAATCCCCCCCAAACCCTCCGTCCCCTTATTTCCCCCCAGCCCCTGCCCGCCCATATCGCCCCCATTCCGTCCACCCCCCCACATCCCTCCAGCCCTCCTCATCCTCCCCATATCTCCCCCATCCCCCATATCCCCCCATTTTCCCTCATTCCCACACATATCCCCCCATATCCCCCCTGCCCCCCCATATCCCCTGCACCCCTCCATTCTCCCCCCATATCCTCCACATTCCCCACATATCCCCCCTATTTTCCCCCATCCCCCCCCCCCACCCCCCCGTATCCCCCCGTATCCCCCCATCTCTCTTCATCCCCTCCTATCCCCCCATTCCCCCCCAGATCTCCCCTATCCCATCAACCCCCGCTCAGCGCGCGGCTCCCCTCGGCGACGTCACGGAGCGGGGTCCCGAGGCGGCCGTTATTGCCTGTCGGTTGGCGCCATTAGGCGGCAGCAGTCGGTCGGCTCGCAGCCATGTCTGCTTCGCAACGCATCCTGCGGCGGCGCTGCCGCTTGGGCGACCAGCGCCGGAGCGTGCGGCTCAGCAGCAGCTGGGGGCGCCCCTACGCAGGTACGGAATGGGCGGCGGGGAGCGGGGGGAGGAGGAGCCGTGCGGAGCCGCGCCGCTCCGCTCCGTGCCGCGTCTCGTCCCAGAAGCGCCGCGTCTGCGACCGCGGGAAGCGGCTCGGGGCTCCTCTGCCGGGCGGCACGGCCGCTGATAGCCGGCGCCGTCCTTCCGGACCGGACCCCTCCGGGCGGGGGTCGGGCTGCGCGGAGCGGCTCCCGTCCCGCGGGACGGCCGGCGAGCCGCTGCTGGCACGGGGACGCCGCGGCGGGGCTGCGGGGGGGGAGCTGCCGCGCGGAGCCGCTCCGCACCGGCGCTCGTCCCCGAAACACCGCGATGCGACCGCGCCTTCCGGCAGCCGCCGTCGGGAAGCGGCTCGGGGCTCCTCTGCCGGGCGGCACGGCCGCTCATAGCCGGCGCCGTCCGCCCGGACCGGACCCCTGCGTGCGCGACCGTTCCGGGCGCTGCCGCTCCGGGCGGGGGTCGGGCTGCGCGGAGCGGCTCCCATCGCGCGGGACGGCCGGCGAGCTGCTGCGGGCACGGGGACGCCGCGGCCGGGCTGCGGGGGGGGGCTGCGTTTCGGCCGTGCCCGGGCTGACTCGCCGGGAGCGCGTTTTGCTTCCGACTTAGAATCATAGAATCAAAGAATCACCAAGGTTGGAAAAGACCTCAAAGCCCATCCAGTCCAACCGTTCACCTCTTACCAACAGCTCCCACTGAACCACGTCCCTCAACACAACATCCAGTCTTTCCTTCAACACCCCCAGGGTCGGTGACTCCACCACCTCCCTGGGCATCCATTGCAGTGCCTGATCGCCCTTTCCAAAAAGTAACACTTCCTGATGTCCAGCCTGAATCTCCCCGGCTGTAGCTTGAAGCCGTTCCCTCTGCTCCTATCACTGATGACACGAGAGCAGAGGCCGACCCCCAGCTCACTGCAGCCTCCCTTCAGGCAGTCATAGAGAGCAGTGAGGTCTCCCCTGAGCTCCTCTTCTCCAGGCTGAACATTCCCAGCTCCTTCAGCCTCTCCTCAGCAGCCCTGTGTTCCAGACCCCTCACCAGCTCTGTTGCCCTCCTTTAACACGTTCCAGGGCCTCGGCGTCTTTCTTGCAGGGAGGGGCCCAAAACTGGACGCAGCACTCGAGGTGCGGCCTCACCAGTGCTGAGTACAGGGCACAATCACCTCCCTGCTCCTGCTGGCAGCGCTGTTTCTGATGCAGGCCAGGCTGCCCTTGGCCTTCCTGGCCACCTGGGCACACTGCTGGCTCCTGTTCAGCCCAGCATCCATCCATACCCCCAGGTCCATTTCCTCTACGCCGTCCTCCAGCCACACCGCCCCAAGCCTGCAGCGTCGCCTGGGGTTGTTGTAGCCCAAGTGCAGGACCCGGCATTTGGCCTTGTTGAAACCTATTCCATGGGCTTCAGCCCAGCTCTCCAGCCTGTCCAGATCCCTCTGTGTGGCCTCGCCACCCCCTGGCAGATCCACACTTCCAGCCAATTTGGTGCCATCTGCGAATGTACTGAGGGTGCACTCGATGCCCTCCTCCAGGCCATCAGTCAAGATCTTGAGGAGGACAGGCCCAGCACCGAGCACACCGCTCACGACCAGTTGCCAGCGGGGTTTAACTCCATTCACCGCCACTCTCTGAGCCCGGCCCTCCAGCCAAGACTTCTTGCTGGCTTGGTCGGTGTTGTGCGAATGGCTTTGCATCCTTTCTTCTTTGTTTTCAGGTTCCGTCGGAGGAGCCAGAGGAGGATGGCGTTCCACTTTCCAGAGATACAGAAACACTGTCCGGGCATCCGTGCTGCAGCGCGTGAGAGCACGTGGAGGAAGATGCCCTACCAGAAACCAGATAAGCACAGTCCACAACCAGCCCACAATGGTCCAGCATGTGGGAGGGGCTGTAGGAGCAGGGGGTGCCAGTGCCCAGACTGCCGTGATCGTTAGCCAGCCCTCCATGGTCCAGCACAAGGGAGGAGCTGAGGGAGGTCGGGGTGCTGCTACCCCCAGAAACACTGAGACAGCTACAAATCTTGGCCAGCCCTCCATGGTCCAGCAGAAGGGAGGAGCTGTGAAAGGTCGGGGTGCTGCTACCCCCAGCAGCCCTCCATGGTCCAGCACAAGGGAGGAGCTGTGAAAGGTCGGGGTGCTGCTACCCCCAGTAACACTCACATAATCCAGCCAGCCATGTCAAAGAACAAGAGAAAAGCCGTGTTTGAGAACAAGAGAGAGGACACATTTCAGAACAAGAGAAGAGCTGTAGGAGGATTGGGAGACATGACCCAGAGAAATACAGAGCATGGCCAGGCACCCATGGTGCAGCACACGAAAGGACCTGTAGGAGGTCGGGGTGCTGCTACCATGAGAAACACTCAGGCAAATACAAATCTTAGCCAGCCCTCCATGGTCCAGCACAAGGGAGGAGCTGAGGGAGGGAGCTGAGGGAGGATCAGGAGACATTGACCAGATAACCAGCATGCTCAGCCAGCTATCCATGGTGCAGCTCACAGAAGGAGCTGTAGGAGCATCTGGAGACATGACACAAAGAAATACCAAGCATGGCCAGGCACCCATGATCCAGCACAAGGGAGGAGCTGAGGGAGGTCGGGGTGCTGCTACCCCCAGTAACACTAAGACAAGTACAAATCTTAGCCAGCCCTCCATGGTCCAGCACAAGGGAGGAGCTGAGGGAGGTCGGGGTGCTGCTACCCCCAGAAGTGCTGCTACCATGAGAAACACTCAGGCAAATACAAATCTTAGCCAGCCCTCCATGGTCCAGCACAAGGGAGGAGCTGAGGGAGGTCGGGGTGCTGCTACCCCCAGTAACACTCACATAATCCAGCCAGCCATGTCAAAGAACAAGAGAAAAGCCGTGTTTGAGAACAAGAGAGAGGACACATTTCAGAACAAGAGAAGAGCTGTAGGAGGATTGGGAGACATGACCCAGAGAAATACAGAGCATGGCCAGGCACCCATGGTGCAGCACACGAAAGGAGCTGTAGGAGGTCGGGGTGCTGCTACCATGAGAAACACTCAGGCAAATGCAGATCTTAGCCAGCCCTCCATGGTCCAGCACAAGGGAGGAGCTGAGGGAGGATCAGGAGACATTGACCAGATAACCAGCATGCTCAGCCAGCTATCCATGGTGCAGCTCACAGAAGGAGCTGTAGGAGCATCTGGAGACATGACACAAAGAAATACCAAGCATGGCCAGGCACCCATGATCCAGCACAAGGGAGGAGCTGAGGGAGGTCGGGGTGCTGCTACCCCCAGAAACACTCAGAGAAATACAGATCTTAGCCAGCCCTCCAGGAAGCAGGACAAGGGAGGAGCCGTAGGAGGATCGGCAGACATTGATCAGATAACCAGCATGCTCAGCCAGCTATCCATAGTGCAGCTGACAGAAGGAGCTGTGGGAGGTCAGGGTGCTGCTACCCCGAGAAATACACACTTTATCCAGCCAGCCATGTTAAAGAACAAGAGAAGAGCCGTGTTTGAGAAGAAGAGCAGAGCTGTAGGAGGATCGGGAGATGCTCCACCGACAGATAGAAAGCTTAGCCAGCCACCCATGATGCTGCACGAGGCTGGAGCAGTAGGAAGATCGGGACATTCTACTCCAACAAATACAAGCCTCAGCCAGCCGTCTGTGCTCCAGAACACGACAGGAAGTGGAGCCGGATGGGGGGGCACTACTGCAACAAAGACAGACCTCAGCCAGGTACCCGTGATCCAGCGCACGGAAGGAGCTGAGAAAGGATTGGGTGATGCTACCCTGACAGACACAGATCTTAACCAGGCAGCCGTGATCCAGCACACCGGAGGCGATGGAGGACGTGTTGTTCGTGCCCGGAGAAACACAAACCTTCTCCAGCCAGCCACGCTGCAGCACGAAGGAGGATCTGCAGGAGGACGGGGCGCTCCTGCAGCCGTTGTGCAGCCTCCTGCGCTCCCAAAGAGCTCCTCGGGTGGCAGCCGCGATGCAGCAGGACTCTCTGGTGCCTGCGGTGTTGGAGCTGCAGGCAAGAAAGGCGCAGCGTCCTTGCAGAAAGCGAGCTCTGCATTAAGCGGTGCAAACCCGGCTGGTGACTACAGAGATGAACAGCAGAGACTTGTGTAAGTGACGGCCCTGTCCCCTGGGAAGCGCTCGCAACGAGCTGCTGAAGTGCTTCCTGGCTTCCTCTGGATAATGGAGAGGATGCGTTCCGGGGGATGGAAGGTGGGACGTGGGGGGGGGGACCATAGGAAGCACGGGGGTTTTGTTTCTCTTCCAGACCTGATGTGATTTACTCACGATAAAACGCTTTGTCGGACATCTGTGTGTCCAGCAGAGCGACTGCTGTGTCTTTCAAGATAGCTGTAGCATTCCTCAGCTGTTCCCTCTGAGCAGCGTCCTATGGAATTCATTGGCGCGGCTTTGGCTATTTGAGTTTGACTTTGCTTTTTGCCCTGTGGCTTCTGACTGTGTAATTTCTTCCTTTGCTGTCATGTTGTGTTTTCTAGGGACTGGGTAGCAGAAGACATGGCGACCTGGGAATCTTCTGGACAGTGGATGTTTTCATGTTACTGTCCTGAGAAGGGCAAGCCTAATGTTTCAGGTCAGTCCCGTTTTTAGGAGTGCTGCTACTGTTCAGGCTGCATTTCCATCCTTGTCCACACTGCTGTGCCTCAATGGAAGCACTGCAAGGTGAGGACGTGCCTTGCGATGCAACAGGTAGGGGCACTGGGTTACGGTATTTCCTTGGTGTGTTTGCACCCCTGAAGTTGCACCAGGAGTCCTTTCTGTGTCTCCAAGTCGAGCTGACTGGTGGCAGGCGGTGCAGCAAGGGCAGTTTCTTGTGTAACTCTAGAGGGCAATTTTGTGTTTGTGTTGCATTCCCTTTGGAGCATGCTGATTGTTTGCCTCCCTGCAGACTTTCCAGAGATCTCCTTTGAGGAGCTGCACCTGGGGTATTACATCTGCAGAGCCAAGAAGGGCACAGGACTCTACGTAAGTATTTGGAACAACTGAGCTTTCTGTGACGCGTTCAGGGTAGCAGTGGTTCCTGTGCTTCAGGTGGCCGCTCTTGACTCAGCGAATGCCCAACTCGAGGGGAACGTAAGAACGCCCTCATACCTTCACTGTTCTGTGCAGCGAGTAGAAAACAGCAGGAGCTGCTGGCCTGAAGGCTTTGCCATCACTGAGCAAGCTGGTGTGGCCATAGGTGTCCCTGTTCACTGCAGGGGAGTTGGGTCGGATGGCTTTAAAGGTCCCTCCTGACTCAAACAGGTCTATGATTCTCCTTGCCTCTTCCTGATAACTGAGGCGCAGGCCTCACCAATGATGCAGGTACAAAACGTATTATCCAAAGCAGGAGTTTCTGCTCGTAAAGTGGGGCAAGACCTGAATTGTCCAGTCCAAAATTTCCTTGCAGTTGCTCAGACCACTCTTGTTCCCCCTTTTAAAGAAAAAGGGGAAAGAAGGGGAAAGAAGGGGAAGGAAAGAGGGGAAAGAAAGAAGGGAAAAGAAAGACAGGGAAAGAAAGAAGAGGAAAGAAAGAAGGGGAAAGAAAGAAGGGGAAAGGAAGAAGGGGAAAGGGGAAAGACCCAAATAAGAACGAACCAAAAGCCATGCTTAACAAAAGCATGTTTGTGTCCTCCCACGTTTAGATAAACGCTGTCCATCAGTATGTGCAGCAATGGAGAACCAGGCTGCAGAAGCTGAAGGTTTTAAACGCCTGGAGAACAGCATCGATGGTATGCGTTAAGGAAAGGTGAAATACTTCTGTTCCTGATGTTGCTTTTCTCTTCAATCTCGTGTGAAGGTTTTTCTTAGGATTCCCATTTAGGCAGAGCTCAGGGTTCAGACTTCAGCACAGATGATTGTTCCGTGCTCAGAGAGCAGACTGAGCCAAAGCAGCGACACAGATAGAGCCATGGAACAAAGGAGAACAAGGCAGAGGAGAATGAGAGCTCCAGGGTTGGGTGATGGCAATTCCTTCTTGCCCGTCAGGTTCCTGCTTCTAGGCTGTCTGCAGACAGCAGCCTGAGAGCGTTTTGTTTAAAGCTGCCATTGCTTGGGTTCAGTTTCTCAGTTCCGTTCAGTTGGTCGGCACACGTGGGTTTTTGCTTTAAGCATGGATTGAAAGATGCCTGCCTGTGCAGGAATGTAGTTTTCATGGATGTATTTGGAACTTTTTCAGCTCCTTTGGAGAGAGAAAGCGGACACTGAACCATTACTGTTTCTTGTACTGGGAGGACAGCAAGCCCCAAGCCCTGGGTTCCCAAGTAAGTTTCTGCATCAGGAACCAGCGATTAAACCGGCGTTGATAAGCGTTCTTCTGCAGCACTGAAACGCAGCAGTGTTTCGGTATGGCAGGTGCAGGCATCCTGAGCCTTCCCATCCATTTCCTCCCTGCAGGCTCTCCAGCCAACAGCCGCAGTCCTTCAGTTCCATCGGCAGCCTCACTTCACGCTCCTGGAGCGGCCGCTGGCCGTGGACTGTGGGGCTTCCGGGCGCTGGGAGCTCGGCTGCTGCAAACCCTGCCCGCACCGCTGCGCTTGCTGTCGCTGCTCCCAAGGCAGCTGCAGAGACTTCTCAGCCGGGAGCAAGCAGCGCTTCGGCCGCACCGACAGCCGGTGCCTCTGGACACAGCGCCGCGTCCGCGCCTCTGCATCCCCACGGCATCAGAGCAGGCAGCTCTGCGCACCGAGGAGGGAACTGAGGGCCGGAGAGCTGGAGCAGCTAAGGGCCAAGAAGATCAGGCAAGGAAAGATCCCTGAGGCCATGACCAGCGGACCTTTCTACGACAAGGACTGGAGTTAATTCTGAACTTATGAGCCTTAATTCCATAGCATCTAAGTCTATTTAGAAGCTCTGTGCCATAATTCCATAGGATCTAAGTCAATTCTGAAGTTCTGTGCCCTCATTCCATAATGCCTAACTTAATTCTGAAGTTTTATGACCTAATTCCATAGCATTTAAGTTACTTCTGTAGTTGTGAGCCTTAATTCCATAGGGTCGAAGTTGATTATGAAGCTCTGTCTTTTAATTCCGTAGGATGTAAGCTAATTCTGAAGTGAAGTGCCTTAATTCCATAGGAATTAAGTTAATTCTGAAAACATATGCCTTAATTATGTAGGGTCTAAATTAATTCTGAAGGAATATGCCTTAATTATGTAAGGTTTAAGTTAATTGTGAAGGAATATGCCTTAATTATATAAGGTCTAAGTTAATTCTTAAGGTTTATGAATTTAATTACAAAGGATGCTTTAATTATGCAGGGTCTAAGTTAATTCTGAAGGTATCTGCCTTAATTAGGTAGGTTCTATGATAATTCTGAAGTATATGCCTGAATTCCATAGCATTTAAGCTAATTGTGAAGGAATATGCCTTAATTCCATAGGTCTAAATTAATTGTGAAGGCATATGCCTTTAATTCTATAGGATCTGAGCAAATTCTGTATGCATATACCTTAATTCCATACGTTGTAAGTTAATTCTGAAGGCATATCTCTTAAATATGCAGGGTCTAAGTTAACTCTGAAGGCATATGTCTCAATTCCATGGCATCTACTTTAATCTGAAGGTATATGCCTTAATTATATATGTTCTATGTTAATTCTGAATGTATATGCCTGAGTTCCATAGGATCTCAGTTAATTCTGAAGATATATGCTTTAATTAAGTAGAATTCTGAAGGCATATGCCTTAATTCCATAGCATCTAAGTTAATTGTGGAGCCATGTGGCTTAATCCATGGGATGTAATTTAAATCTGAAGGTATATGCCTTAGTTCCATAGAATCTAATTTAATTCTGATGCTATATGACATTAATTGCATAAATTGAAGTTAATTCTGATGGCATATGCCTTTAGTTGCAAGAAATCTTAGTTAGTTCTGAATGCATATGCCTTAATTATGCAGGGCTTAAGTTAATTCTGAAGGAATATGCCTTAATTACATCGGGTCTGAGTTAATTCTGTAGACATATGCCTTAAGTATTTAGTGTCTAACTTAATTCTCAAGGCATATTCCTTAATTCCATAGGATCTATGTTAATTCTGAAGGCGTATGCCTTAATTCCATGGAACTAAACTTTATTCTGAAGGTATAGGCCTTAATTATGTGGGGTTAAGTTAATTCTGCAGTCATATTCCTTAATTTCATGGAATCTAAGTTAATTCTGTAGGCATATGCCATAATTATGTGGGATATAAGTTAATTCTGAAGTTATATGCCTTAATTTTGTGGGATTAAACTGTATTCTGAAGGTATAAGCCTTAATTCCATAGGTCTACGTTTATTCTTAAGGCATATGCCTTAATTATATGGGACTTAATTTAATCATGAAGGCATATTCCTTAATTCCATTGGATCTAACTTAATTCTGAAGGGACATGCTTTAATTATGCAGGGTCTAAGTTAATTCTGATGGCATATGCCTTTAAATCCTTAGGATCTCAGTTAATTCTGCAGGCATATGCCTCAATTCCAATGCATCTAAGTTCATTCTGAAGGTATCCGCCTTAATTATATAGGTTCTATGTTAATTCTGAAGAATGTGCCTTAATTCCATAGCATCTAAGTTCATTGTCAAAGGTTGGGTCTAAGTTAATTCTGATGGCATATGCCTTAATTCCATAGCATCTCAGTTAATTCTGAAGGTGTATGCCTTAATTATGTAGAATCGAAGTTAATTCTGAAGGCATATGCCTTATTTTCATAACATCTAAGTTAATTGTGAAGGCATATGCGTTTAATGCCATAGAATCTGAGTTAATTCTGAAGGCATATGCCTGAATTCTATAGTATCTAAGTTAATTCTGAAGTTATATGCCTTAATTCCATGGATTTAAACATTATTCTGAAGGCATATGCCTTAATTATGTAGGGTCTAAACTAATTCTGATGGCATTACCCTTAATTCCATGGGATCTCAGTTAATTCTCAAGGCATATACCTTAATTATGTAAGTTGTAAGTTATGTCTGAAAGCATTTCCCTAAATTTAATAGGATCTCAGTTAATTCTGAAGGCATAGGCCTTAATTCCATTGCATATAAATTAAATCTGAAGACATATGCCTTAAGTATGCAGGGTCTAAGTTAACTATGAAGGCATATGCCTTAATTCCATAGCATCTAATTTAATTGTGAGGCATATGCCTTAATTCCATAGAAGTTAATTCTGATGGCATATGCCTTAATTCCATGGATTTAAACTTTATACTGAAGGCATATGCCTTAATTATGTATTGTCTAAGTTAATTCTGATGGCATATACCTTAATTCCATAGGATCTGAGTTAATTCTGAAGATATATGCTTTCATTATATAGAATTCTGAAGGCATATGCCTTAATTCCATAGCATCTAATTTAATTGTGGAGGCATATGGCTTAATCCATAGGATGTAATTTAAATCTGAAGGTATATGCCTTAGTTCCATAGCATCTAATTTAATTCTGATGCTGTATGACATTTATTGCATAAATCGAAGTTAATTCTGATGGCATATGCCTTTAGTTGCAAAGAATCTTAGTTAGTTCTGAATGCATATGCCTTAATTATGTAGGCTGAAGGAATATGCATCTAAGTTAATTCTGAAGGCATATGCTTTAATTTCATGTTATCTAAGTCAATACTGTAGGCATATGCCTTAATTATATGGGACTTAATTTAATTATGAAGGCATATTCCTTAATTCCATTGGATCTAACTTAATTCTGAAGGGACATGCTTTAATTATGCAGGGTCTAAGTTAATTCTGATGGCATATGCCTTTAAATCCTTAGGATCTCAGTTAATTCTGCAGGCATATGCCTCAATTCCAATGCATCTAAGTTCATTCTGAAGGTATCCGCCTTAATTATATAGGTTCTATGTTAATTCTGAAGAATATGACTTAATTCCATAGCATCTCAGATAATTCTGAAGGTGTATGCCTTAATTATGTAGAATCGAAGTTAATTCTGAAGGCATATGCCTTATTTTCATAACATCTAAGTTAATTGTGAAGGCATATGCGTTTAATGCCATAGAATCTGAGTTAATTCTGAAGGCATATGCCTGAATTATATAGTATCTAAGTTAATTCTGAAGTTATATGCCTTAATTCCATGGATTTAAACATTATTCTGAAGGCATATGCCTTAATTATGTAGGGTCTCAGTTAATTCTGATGGCATTACCCTTAATTCCATGGGATCTCAGTTAATTCTCAAGGCATATGCCTTAATTATGTAAGTTGTTAGTTAAGTCTGAAAGCATTTCCCTAAATTTAATAGGATCTCAGTTAATTCTGAAGGCATAGGCCTTAATTCCATCTCATATAAATTAACTCTGAAGGCATAGGCCTTAATTATGTAGAAACCAAGTTAACTATGAAGGCATATGCCTTAATTCCATAGCATCTAAGTTAATTGTGAAGGCATATGCCTTAATTCCATAGCTCTAAGTTAATTCTGATGGCATATGCCTTAATTCCATGGATTTAAACTTTATACTGAAGGCATATGCCTTAATTATGTATTGTCTAAGTTAATTCTGATGGCATATACCTTAATTCCATAGGATCTCAGTTAATTCTGAAGATATATGCTTTCATTATGTAGAATTCTGAAGGCATATGCCTTAATTCCATAGCATCTAAGTTAATTGTGAAGGCATATGGCTTAATCCATAGGATGTAATTTAAATCTGAAGGTATATGCCTTAGTTCCATAGCATCTAATTTAATTCTGATGCTGTATGACATTAATTGCATAAATCGAAGTTAATTCTGATGGCATATGCCTTTAGTTGCAAAGAATCTTAGTTAGTTCTGAATGCATAAGCCTTAATTATGTAGGGTCTAAGTTAATTCTGAAGGAATATGCCTTAATTATGTAGGATCTAAGTTAATTCTGAAGGCATATGCTTTAATTTCATGTTATCTAAGTTAATACTGTAGGCATATGCCTTAATTATGTGGGGTTTAAGTTAATTCTGAAGTTATATGCCTTAATTTTGTGGGATTAAACTGTATTCTGAAGGTATAGGCCTTTATTACATAGGATGTAAGTTAATTCTGAAGGCATAAGTCTTTAATTGCATAAGATCAAAGTCAGTTCTGACTGCATATGCCTTAATTCCATAGCATCTAAGTTAATTCTGGAGGCATATGCCTGAATTTTATAGTATCTAAGTTAATTCTGAAGGTATATACCTTAATTCCATGGATTTAAACTTTATTCTGAAGGCATATGCCTTAATTATGTAGGGTCTAAGTTAATTCTGAAGGCATTTGCCTTTAATTATGTAGGGTCTAAGTTAATTCTGAAGGGCTATGCCTTTATTCCAAGGGTCTAAATTAATTCTGAAGGCATATGCCTTAATTATGTAAGGTCTAAGTTAATTATGAAGTTATAGGACTTTAATTACATAGGATCTAAGTTAATATTGAAGGCACATGCCTTTATTCCATAGGTTGCAATTTAATTCGGAAGACATATGCCTTAATTATGTTGGGTTTAAGTTAATTTTGAGGGCATATGCCTTTATTATGTGGCAAGTAAGTTAATTCTGAAGGCATATGCCTTTATTATATAGAATCTAAGCTAATTCTGAAGTCATATGCCAGTAATTGCATAGCATCTAAGTTAATTGTGAAGGCATATGCCTTTAATTCCATAGGATCTGAGTTAATTCTGAAGACATATGCCTGTATTATATAGTTTCTAAGTTAATTGTGAAGGTACATGCCTTAATTCCATGGGATTAAACTTTATTCTGAAGGTATAGGCCTTAATTATGTAGGGTTTAAGTTAATTCCTATGGCATATCCCTTACTTCCATAGGTCTATGTTAATTGTGTAATCATATGCCTTAATTACGTAAGTTGTGAGTTAAGTCTGAAGGCATTTGCATTAATTCCATAGGATCTGAGCTAATTCTGAAGGATTATGCCTTAATTCCATAGCATCAAATTTAATTCTGAATGCATATGCATTAATTATGACGAAACCCACTTAATTCTGAAGGCATATGCCATAATTATGTAGTGTCTCAATCTATTCTTAAGGCATATGCCTTAATTCCACTGCATCTAAGTTAATTCTCAAGGTATCTGCTATAATTATATAGGTTCTATGTTAATTCTGAAGTATATGCCTTAATTGCATAGCATCTACGTTAATTGTGAAGGCATATACCTTAATTATTTTGGGTCTAAGTTAATTCTGATGGCATATTCCTTAATTATGTAGGGTTTAAGTTAATTCTGAAGGTATATGCCTTAATTCCATGGGATTAAACTTTATTCTGAAGGTATAAGCCTTAATTATATAGGATCTAAGTTAATTCTGAAGGCATATGCCTTAATTACGTAAGTTGTAAGTTAAGTCTGAAGGCATTTGCATTAATTTCATAGGATCTCAGTTAATTCTGATGGCATATGCCTTAATTCCATAGCATCTCAGTTAATTCTGAAGGTGTATGCCTTAATTATGTAGAATCTAAGCTAACTCTGAAGGCATATCCCTTAATTCCATACGTCTTAATTAATTGTGAAGGCATATGCCTTTAATTCTATAGGATCTAAGTTAATTCTGAAGGCATACGTCTTAATTTTCTGGGGCTAAATTATTTCTGAAGGCATATACCTTAATTATGTGGGGTCTGAGTTAACTCTGAAGGCGTATGCCTTAATTCCATGGAATTAACATTTATTCTGAAGGTATACGCCTTAATTATTTAGGGTCTAAGTTAATTGTGAAGGCATATGCCTTAATTATGTGCGATTTAAGTTAATTCTGAAGTTATATGCCTTAATTTGTGGGATTAAACTGTATTCTGAAGGTATAGGCCCTTATCATATAGGATGTAAGTTAATTCTGATGGCATATGCCTAAATTCCATATGTCTACGATTATTCTGAAGGCATATGCCTTTAATTCCATAGGATCTGAGTTATTCTGAAGGCATATGCCATGAATTCCATAGGATCTAAGTTAATTCTGAAGGTATATGCCTGAATTCCATGGATTTAAACCTTTTTCTGAAGGCGTATGCCTTAATTAAGTAGGGTCTAAGTCAATTCTCGTGGCGTATGCCTTAATTCCATAGATCTAAGTTAATTGTGAAGGCATATGCCTTCAATTCTATACTATCTGAGTTAATTCTTAAGGCATATACCTTAATTCCATAGCATCTAAGTTAATTCTGAAGGTATACGCGTTAATTATGTAGGGTCTATGTTAATTCTGATGGCATATTCCTTAATTCCATAGGTCTAAGTTAATTGTGAAGGTATATGCCTTTAATTCTATAGGATCTCAGTTAATTATGAAGGTATATGCCTTTATTATGTAGAATCTAAGTTAATTCTGAAGGCGTATGCCTTAATTATGTAGAATCGAATTTAATTCTGAAGGCATATGCCTTAATTATATAGGGTCTAAGTTAATTCTGAAGGCATAGGCCTTAATTCCATAGCATCTATGATAGTTGTGATGGCCTATGCCTTAATTATGTAGAGTCTGATTTAATTCTGAAGGAATATGCCTTAATTACGTAGGGTATGAGTTAATTCTGAAGGCATATGCCTTAATTTTGTGGGCCTAAGTTATTTCTGAAGGCATATTCCTTAATTCCATAGCATCTAAGTTTATTCTGAAGGCATATGCCTTAATTATGTACGGTCTAAGTTAATTCTGATGGCATATGCCTTAATTCCATGGGATCTCAGTTAATTCTGAAGGTATCTGCCTTAATTATGTAGAATCTAAGCTAATTCTGAAGGCATATGCCTTGAATTCCATGGAATCTAAGGTAATTCTGAAGATATATGCCTTTAATTCCGTAGGATCTAAGGTAATTGTGAAGTTCTGTGCCTTAATTTTATTGGGTTGAAGTTAATTCTGAATTTGTATGCCTTAATGGAATAGAAATAAATATGTTATATTATTTGTTTTCACGTTTTTATGAAATAGAAATTAATATGTGATTCATTTACATATGTCTTAATTAAATAGAAATAAATATGTTATTTACCCATGTCTTTCTTAAATATAAATGAATATATGTTGTTGTATTATTTACATGATCTGTCAATAAAAGTTGTTCTGTGACTCTTGTGCTGTGATGCAGCAGTGAGTTGGAATGCTTCTCTGTGACTTACCTTCTCTTTTAATCCCTTCACTCCTCTGTGTAATCAGTGGCGATCCAGGCGCTGTGATTAAGAAACACACAAAGAGTTTGGCAGAGCAGGTTGTGACAGCACAAAGAAGAGATGAAGGCCTCACCCTTATCCTGGCTCCCTGGAAAGCTCCACAGGAGGGATCCCCAAAAGAGGCTCTTCCCCGCTGGCAGCCAGCTCTCAAATGGGGTCCAGGAGAGGCGCCGCCAGGCTCCGTCCCTCCCAGCAGCACAGCGCATTGCCTTCGCTGTGCTCCCAGGGCTGATCAGCGCTCGACCAGAGGCTCAGGCTGTGGCACAGCAGCTCCCTTCAGTCCTCACAGTCAGATGCCTCGTGCTACCAGCATTTCCACTGCACCTCTCTAGGCTCATAGATCTTGAGCGCTGGCCAACAGGTGGCTTCTGCCAAATGCTTCTCCCACTGCTCTCATGTTCCTCCCCCCATTGCCTTCAACATTGTTTTCAACAACCCGCTGCAGTTGGATTTTACCAGCAGCTGGTGCATGCAAGGGAATATGAGATCAGTTCACTTGATGCCAAGATCTTTGGCCCAACAATTTGCAAGGGAACTTTCAAAATGTGTCCCCCCATCCGACTCAATTCTTTCACTGCAGAGAAGACCTAAAATATTCTATCCAGCAATTGTTTTGTGTGCATCTATCTATCTATCTATCTATCTATCTATCTATCTATCTATCATCTATCCAGTGACACAGAACCCACGAGATGCAGCAATCAGGTGGCACAGTGACACAACACTCAGGTGATGCAGCACCAAGGTGACACAGTGAAACAGCACCCAGGTGGCACAGCACCCAGGTGGCACAGTAACACAACACACCGGTGGCACAGTGACACAGCACACAGGTGACGCAGAAACGAAGTGGCACACTTACACAAACCCAGGTGAAGCACCACCCGGGTGACACAGTGGCACAGCTCCCAGGTGACACAGCACTCATTTGGCACAGTGACACAACACCCAGGTGATGTAGCACACAGGTGACAAACTGGAACGGCACCCAGGTGGCACAGTGACACAGTACCCAGGTGATGCAGCACCCAGGTGACACAGTGGCACAGCACTCAGGTGACGCAGCACCCAGGTGGCACAGAGACACAACACACAGGTGGCACAGCACCCTGTTGGCACAGTGACACAGCACCCAGGTGATACAGTGACACAATATCCAGGTTGTACAGCACCCAGGTGACACAGTGACACAGCACACTGTTGACACAGCACCTAGGTGGCACACTGTCACAGCACCCAGGTGGCACCAGCACCCAGGTGGCACAGTGACACAGCACCCAGGTGACAAAGCACTCAGGTGACACAGTGAAACAACACACAGGTGACACAGTGACACAGCACCCAGGTGGCACAGTGGCAGAGCACCCAGGTGACACAGTGACACAGCACCCAGGTGGCACAGTGGCAGAGCACCCAGGTGACACAGTCGCACAGCACCCAGGTGACATAGCATCCATGTGGCACAGTGGCACTGCACCGAGGTGACACAGTGACACAGCACCCAGGTGGCACAGCACTCAGGTGACACAGTGGCACAGCACACAGGTGGCACAGTGGCACATCACCCAGGTGGCACAGTGACACAGCACCCAAGTCCACAGCATCCAGTTGATGCAGCACCCAGGTGGCACAGTGACACAATATCCAGGTTGTACAGCACCCAGGAGGCACAGTGGCACAGTACCAGGTGAAGCAGCACCCAGGTGACAAACTGGAACAGCACCTAGGTGACACAGTGACACAAAACCCAGGTGGCACAGCACTCAGCTGCACACTGACACAGCACCCAGGTGACAAAGCACCCAGGTGACACAGTGACACAGCACCAAGGTGACACAGCACCCAGGTGGCACAGTGACACAGTGCACAGGTGACGCAGCACCCAGGTGACACAGTGGCACAGCACCAAGGTGGCACAGTGACACACACTCAGATGACGCAGCACCCAGGTGGCGCAGCACCCAGGTGGCAGAATGACACAGTACCTAAGTGACACAGCACTCAGGTGGCACAGTGACACAACACCCAGGTGAAGCAGCACCCAGGTGACAAACTGGAACAGCACCTAGGTGACACAGTGACACAAAACCCAGGTGGCACAGCACTCAGCTGCACACTGACACAGCACCCAGGTGACAAAGCACCCAGGTGACACAGTGACACAGCACCAAGGTGACACAGCACCCAGGTGACACAGGGGCACAGCACCAAGGTGACACAGTGACACAGCACCCAAGTCCACAGCACCCACGTGGCACAGTGACACACACTCAGATGACGCAGCACCCAGGTGGCGCAGCACCCAGGTGGCAGAATGACACAGTACCTAAGTGACGCAGCACTCAGGTGGCACAGTGGCACAACACCCAGGTGATGCAGCACCCAGGTGACACAGTGGCACAACACCAAAGGTGGCACAGCACCCAGGGGCAGAGTGACACAGTACCCAGGTGAAGCAGCACCCAGGTGACAAATTGGCACAGCACCCAGGTGGCACAGTGACACAGCACCAGGTGAAGCAGCACCCAGGTGACACAGTGGCACAGCACCCAGGTGGCACAGCTGGCATAGTGACACAGAACCCAGGTGGCACCCTGACACAGCACCCTGGTGACAGAGCACTCAGGTGACACAGTGAAACAACACCCAGGTGATGCAGTGACCCAACACCCAGGTGGCACAGTTACACAGCACACTGTTGACGCAGCACCCAGGTGACACAGTGACACAACACCCAGGTGGCAAAGTGGCACAACACCCAGGTGACGCAGTGACACAACACCTAGGTGGTACAGTGACACAAAAGCAAGGTGACACAGAGCTCTGATGGCACAGTGACACAGCACCCAGGAGACGCAGCACTCAGGTGGCACAGTGACAAAGCATCAACATGACGCCACACTCAGGTGACACAGTGGCACAGCACCCAGGTGATGCAGAACTCAGGTGGCACAGTGATGCAGCACCCAGGTGATGCAGCACCCAGATGACACAGTGACACAACACCCACGTGACGTAGCACCTTGGTGACACAGTGACACAGCACCCAGTTGATAAAGAGCCGACCAGTTCATGGCCCTGCGATTGCCAGCCCAAGCACAAGACTTTTTGACCAGCTACGGAAAGAGGCAGCACCGTGTTTAAAAAGTTGGTTTCGTTTTTATTCAATACAAAAGGCTCTGGGTTGTATTTATCAACACAGCCCAAAATGAAACCCCAGCGTCCAGGGTTTCTGCTTAGCAATGAGTCATTCAGCCTCCAGGCAGACACGAGGAGAAGCCTGACCCTGTGGCTACGTCAGCTCCTCACCCTCCAGGCCCGGCTAGTCGTACTTCAATCTCATACTAGACCGGCCCTGGCCCTGAAGAGACGCAGCCTGAAGGAACACAGCCTCTCCATCTCTTGCCATAGATGAAGACCTGCTTCTGGCAAGCCCTCTTTGCTTGGAATGCAGCACAAGCCCTTCCCTTCCAGGTGCCTCAGTTCCACTGCACTGTCTGTGACAAGCGAAAGCACGGCCATGCCACAAAACCGGACGCTGACTCAGTCCGCTGCCTTTGGTGCCACCTCCGAGGAAGCATTCCACCTGATTCCAGTGCCCTGTGGGCCTTCTCGCTCAAGCCCTTCTCGGTTCTTTTTGCTCTCCTTCTGGGCTTCCTTCCTCAGCAGAGCAGCACTTGCCTTGGCTTTCTTCACTGTCTCGCCAGACCGAGTCCCAAGACTGTGCCAGTCCTACAAGAATCAAGGCAGAAACGGTCAGGGAACCTTCACAGGTAACAAGTGGCTGACAGCTCGCTTGGGGAGCTCAAGTCACCGCCCGGGCAGCTGTGGCTGCCAGCACTGGAAACCGCCTTCCTGCCATCAGGGCACGCCAGAAACTCCACCTCTATCTCCTGCCCAAAAGTCCTATACGAACTTGAACCCAAAGCCATCTCCTGCAAGGCAGCGCCTGCACAGGGCTTGGACACTGCCTGGCAGCACACACAGCACAGCAGCAGCAGCAGCAGGTGAGCAGCACCCCAAGGCTCCTGGCGTGCATCAGGAACACGCGCACACGGAAGGAAGGGCAGGACAAACGACGGCACGCTCAGCAGTGCCGGGCACAGCACCGTAGGCCACAGCTGCAGATTGTTCCCTCCCTGCCCATTGCCCGTGCCTTTCTATCAGCCTCAGAGAGCACGACTTACTGGCTTATGGCACCTGGAAACGGGCACGATTACAGCTAGCACACAGAGCAGCTGCAAAGTGGCTCCACAGAAAAGACCGTGGTGCAGCACGTTCTCCGCCAGCGTGGGCTCAGGGATCTCAGCTGGGAGAAATGCTCACACAGCAGGCAGCCTGCT